TTTTCTAATTAAAGTTGAAAAACGTGCATGAAAATTACAATCCTTAATGTTTGTACAGCAGATCCACATCTCTTCCTCTTACCTCATCTTCCTCCGCTGTCCTTCTCAATGATCCCCCTTTTTAAGTGATTTGGGGTCTTTATTTTGGTCCCTGATAATAACAGTAATAGTACAGAATAAGGATCCACCAGCAGAGAGAATAGGAACCAAGAAGCGTAGCCTCCAGTCTGTGCAGATGTTGGAGGATGTCAGGGTGTGGGGATAAAGCTGCTCCACTCTTTCTTTTGGTCGGTGTCTCATAGAAATAGCGGATCATTGAGCGGCTGTCTGTCAGGAGGCTGCTCGGTCTATCGGAGCCATTTCAGAGGAGGCATGAAGCCGGGAGGAGTGGCTGTCAGCGGCGGTGCCATCTTTCCCTGCCTCTGGAAGGGAGGCTGGATGCAGAGGAGGGGGGTGGAAGGAGCGCAGCATCTGAAATATGCATGGATGGGTGGGTTGTTTGGCACAGCAGCGCCCTCATTTGGCTGATGGCGGAACTGAGCTGGAAGGAATCGCAGCAGGGGCGTCACCAATGGGTGGCCAGCGGGCACCCTGGACCCAAGAAGGCCAGTTCTGCTTTATAAATAAAAATAGATAATAATATTTGGATGTGTTTTTTATTTACTAAAAGAAAAGGGAAATAATTACACTGGTTAAATAAATATTTTTTTCCATCCATCCATCTTTTTCAGCTTATCCGGAGTTGGGTCTCATCAGATCAGTAGGGAGGCCCAGACTTCCCTCTCCAGCCAGTCCAGGGGAACCTTAAGATGCTCCCAGGCCAGCTGAGAAACAGAGTCCCTCCAGTGTGTCCTGGGTCTCCCCCTGGGCCTCCTCCCGGTGGGACGTGCCTGGAACACCTCACCAGGGAGAGGCTCCTCTCGACGTGGAGGAGCAGTGGTTCTACTCCCTGGATGACTGAGCTCCTTAACCTATCTCTAAGGGAGAGCCCAGAAACACACATATACACATTTTTTTTATTTATTTATACAATTCTCTTTCTGTCTTTGTCATATAGTTGCACTGTATAATAGATTTTAAGAAAAGAATAGTAATTTCTATCTTTGGTTTGACTCCATTGTACAAGTGTAGGCTACAGGCTAAACATCTAAAAAAAAAAAAACGTATCAAATTTCCGTGTTTTTTTTTTCTCTTTGCTTTAAAAATTTAAAGCGGTTCTAAATAAATTTCAGTTCTGGTAGATTTTGTTTTCCCCCCATTTGACAAAAGCTCTATTTTTCTTGGCTGGAGGAAGACCACATTTCCCATGAGGACCAGCCTGACAATCAGAATCCTGATCTCCGGGTTTCCTGCAGTTGGATTGAATTACACTTCTGTTTCCAGTGGCAGTGGGAAAGATAAACAGTGATGAGGTAATGATCTAACTGTGGCCAAACATTGTCATATGAGAATGTTGAAAATAAGAAAGGTTTACCTTTGGTTTGTACCAAATTCCTGTACTGCCACGATCACCCACCCCCCCTTCCCCACCTCACCCAACTTACTTGATGTGCTGATGAGTTTTAGAGCCATGAAACAGATAAATATAATGTTATGTTTGATAATTTCACAGTAAAACAAAACATTCCCAGCAGGAACTTGCAGCATTGCCTGAATATCAACCCTGCACAGTTTGCATGACTATAGAGTCTCTCATGGAAATTTAGTTGCATCGACATCCGCCTTTATAATAAATGAGAAGAAGGGAAGTAACATAGGCTGTAAAGCAGTCTGTACATTAGTAGTTGTTGTGTGTGGCATGTTTACTGCTAGTGTTGTAGTCAAGACCTCTCCAAGGAGTACAGAGTTATGGCCTCTAAAGGTGTTGACCTTGTCTTGGTACTCCTTGGTCTTAGTTGGGCTCGACTACAACACTAGTTACTGCCATCCTCCTCTAAGTTGTCAGTGCCAGTGAGAGCGATAAAGACCCCCTTGCACCATGACAGTGTTAGGGTCTCTGGGGTTTTTTCTGTTTTTCCGGTGTGACTTTTCTGGTGGGTGGGCCAACCCATGTTTCTGCACACCTGAGGACATTTCTCAATCAAGATGGTTAGCTTGTATATAAGGAGGTGAAGGATCATCTATCTTTTCCCAGATGATTACCCCTGATAGTTTTCAAGCCAAAGACATAAACCAGGAATATGCTTCTTGTTGAAATTTGTCTTCTTGTGAAATTCTTTCAATGTAGACTCTGCCACTGAACCTCATGTTTTCTCTCATGAAAAGGGTCTCACCTGTGTTCTGCAGTTCTTAGTCTTCATCACCTGCCTGCACGCTTTCCAGCACGTCGCCTCTTACAAGTACCAGCACTTTCAGATCTCACTCTCCTTCTGTGGGACCTCTAGAGTACAGTCTGCAAAGCCCACTGAATCAAACCCCTACAGATTCATGCTACCTCCCATTTACCTCTCAAGTAAGCAAATCAGTCATTTGTCATCAACCAACTCCTTCCTGATCAGTTTGCTTTCTCCCCTCAGACCAATTAGAAAATTCCTCTGACTTCCTGCAGTTCTCTGCTTCCAGATTCTTGTTGCTCTTGTAAATAAAACGTAAAAACTCTGTGTGATTCTGAATGTGGGACAGAGGTGTCATGTATTTAGTTGTAAGTAGACGTATAATCAGAAAAGTTATGAAAATGTTTTTTTAAGGTTGAAAATGTACTCAGTGTTGGTTTAAACATTTATTTAAGGATGAAGATTTCAACTCAGTGTTTCTGAGCAGGGTGGAGCTAGGGGGTGCTGTGGCAGGCAGATTATAGTTTTAAACATATGTATGTAGGTCTTCATGAAAATCTAAAGTTTGCTAAGTGATTTATTTGGAAGATACTAATACATTTACCTGTTGGCTCACCTATGTGCTCGTCCTCATTTTCACTTACCGGTGGTGAGTCTGACATAGTGGAAAAAATGTAAATCTTTGGGAAAGTAAGTTTGTTCAGGGATGTAAACTCAGGGGCGAAATGATCTTACGCATGCTCTTGCACGCATTTAATAGGCGTGCCCTCCAGGGAGCGGGTACAGGGTTGTGCATGTGCTTTTTATTTTTTAAGTGGAGAGGGTGGGTCTTTTCAAAATTCACAAATATCCTCTAATATACCTTTAAGTCCAATTATATTGCTATTTATCGGACTGTAAAATCTTAAACACATAGTTTCCTTCAGCTTTGGGACTGTTGTGTTTTTTCTTGTCCAGAACTTAAATTTACAAAAGCGTGTAAAACCAATTCAAGGATTTGTCATTTTCGCCTACAGCAAGAAGAAATTTTGTTAATGATGCTGTTATTTAAAGCCAATAAATTAAGTTTTAAAAAAATCCTAAAGGAGCCCTAAAAAAAAAAAAAAAAGTGTTTTTTTTTTCCTGAATGTGGGAATATCATGGCCAGGATTTTTTTTTAGAAGCGGTCAAGAACAGTGATGGCATTCAAAAAATATACAAAAACTACAATGTTAGAGATTTATGAAAGTTAGAGTTTATGTACATAATTATGGCATTATGTTTTGATTATTTAATTATGTAAACAATAATTTAAGCCATAACATTTAATCACTGTAAATGTGGAAAAGGATGGATTTAAACCCTGTAACAGAACTGAAGCAGAGTTGGTGTAAAAAAGATTAAGGGCGGATTTCATAAGATTGTTTTTGTTTCTGCTCCTTTTCATTCAAGATGCATTGATTTGGAAATATTTCTGTTTTTATGTGTATTTATTTTAAAGTCATTTTGAAGTTTTTAACTGCAAAGGACCACAGCTCAGATTTGACACAGGTCGGCCATGTCGAGGAAGGCCTCCCTACATGTCGTGTGCGCTAACCACCGCGCCACCGAAGCGTGCCCTTAAAGTCATGTTTTATTAAACAAATTTAATGAAATGGAAAAGAGATAAATTAAATCTTCCAATTATTTTTGATACACTATTAGACTTTCAGTTTTTATGCACCTTTAACCTGGAACAAACTCCCAGAAAACTGCAAAACAACAGAAATTCCTTTATGTCAAAGCTGAAGACCCAGCTGTTTAGAAGTGCCTTTGATTAGTAATCTGCTAATAAATCCAGATGAAAAGAAGATCTAAACAAAATATTGGATTATCACTCAAGTTTTTGATTATTTTTTTGCAATGATATAGAGGTTTTAATAATCGGCTGTCTATTTGTTTAATTTTTTTTTTCATTTCTGGACATTTCTTCAGATCGTTTTATGATATAAAGCTCTTTTGAATGCGTTGCCATTGTAATTTTCTATGGAAACACATTTATACTTACTTACTAAGCAGGAAGTACTGAAAGGTAATGGGATATGTTAAGATTTACTCCAAAGGTGAATATTTTATTGCCAGAGATAAATTATTAACCTCCAATGTTTCAATAAGTGTTAATTCACCTTTTATGGAAGGTTTTTAATTTCCGCTTCATTTTAATGTTTGGGGACTCTGCCTGTTGGGGGCTCCATTGGAATAATTTCCAGTAGCTTCCTCCTAATCATATTGCAAAGCAGGCTTTTGTTCTCATTATTTTAAAGTCATTGGAGCAGTGTTACATAAGCTCATGTTTTCTTCCTTGGCTTGTTGAAAATGTTGCATCACTTGAAGGAGAACGAAGCCCGGAGTTCATCAAGCTCTCTGCAAGACGCTTTATTTAGAGATCATAGCTTTTTATTGTCTCTCCTGAATGAGAACAGACATACGGAGGTGGGGTGGAAACTATCATCAAACATCAAATACACAAAAGACATCAGAGCACACAGATGAGTCAGTCTCCCTGACATTACACTGTCTGAAAAAATTATTGTTTTCAGAGCTATAAAGGAGAAGGCGGGAGTCCAGGAAAACAATGAACAGGTTTGACCACCTGAACCAATAAAACTAGCCTGCAAGAAAAATAACAATGCAAAAAAAAACAAAAAAAACCTTTGCTATTCTCAAAATGAATGAACCTAAAGCACAATATTTGATGTAGTCAGACGAATTAGCCACAGATATGCAATTTTAAGTGATTTGGTGTTTTTTTTTATCTCAGTAACAGGCAAATATCCATAAAAATGCTTACATTTCAGGAAAACTGGATATTTATTTATGGTTAATAAAAACCTTTCAATATCAGTTCAGAATGTCAGCTTGTGTCAGTAACAAATCTGAAAATACTGGCTGGGTGACTTGACTGGGCTGATGTAGCTGGACGTCTCCTGCTCTGAGCTGTGGCTGGTTACGGTTTTCTGCAGGTTCAAGGTGAAGGACGGGGTTGATTTCTTTATCTGAGGCTGGATGCTCCTCTTGGTTGAAGGGGGCCCAGGGCCGGTCCCGGGCCCGCTGTGGGCAGGCATTGCAGACGCTGACTTGGCCTCCTCAGAAGACCCAGTCTTTCTTGCGAGGGGGCTCAGATAGATCTGCATAGTCACTAAGTTAAGTGGTGAAATGTGGTGAGGAGGCGGGGAGAATGAAGAGGGATTTATATGAAGGGACATTATAAAAGGGGGAGGGATTGAAAAGGCAAATGATTGGGGAAGGAAGTGAAGGGGGGGGAGGATGCACAAGTTATGGTATGAAATGAAAAATGAAAACCAGAAAGAAGAGCTCACACACAGTTCTATCAACTACACTGTTCGGTTATTGCTCTAAGAGACAGAGCCTACCTTTGCAGTGAGTCACCCGCCTTGTTCCTGCAACAAAACAGGAGGGAAAATAATTAGCCTGCCGTCCCTGTGGCATTAGTAAATCCTTTCTCTGGTTGTGGAGAGTCACTCTCTCTTTCCTGGCATTTTTCCATTCAGAAAATAAAAATCTGGTTTCCTTACCTACGCTTACAGCGGGCTCGCTGGACTTGTTGCTCCTGGAATATTGACATTTACAATTAGTAAGAGGAACAATACAGTAGTCATGTGTAAAAAAAAAAAATTGGTAAATGAGCATCACAAGATAAAACAACCAAAAACACATTAAAAGTTTTTCTTTAGGTGCTTCTTACAAAATTTTTCATTTCGTTTTAGTCTAATCTGAGCATCATCTCTCCTACATGGTTTGTGTCAAACTTTAAGCGATGCCTCCTACAGCTTTCTCCAAGCCACTCTTTCTTTATGCCAGAGTTATAATAGCTTTCCTGTTGACAGATTCTCCTACATGAGCTGTGGATCGTTGCTGCATCCCCCAGAGTCATCTGATTTTCTGATTAATCTTCCTCCCTCTATATCCAGTCACTTTGGGCGAAATGGAGAATGCAGTTGTGCTAGCTTTTCTTTAGAGGTATTAAAATAAAATGTAGTTGAATAAAAATGCACTCTTTCCCAGGCTTTGTGCAAAATGCTGTTTTCTAAATGTCATGTATCTTCTGTTCACACTTCATAACTGCATTTTACTTTGTGTTGATCCATTGTTTAAAATCTTGATAAAACACTCATTATCTGTGGGTGTAAAATGAGAAAATATCAGAAAGTTGGAGGAGCATGCATATTAAGCTGCAGGAGCCCTATAACTGAAGTAAAATTAAATCTTTGCCCTACTGCTGACTGATCAGTCTTACCCTTCGGGAGCTTTCTTGCAGACTGGGGCTGCAGCCGTTGGCCCCTTTTTTGTGGTTTTGCATGGACTGTCCTTCACACTACCTGGTGGGCTCCTTACACCACTAGAAAGAATAAAAACATATTTGATATTTGATTGAAATCCTTAGAAAAGATCATTACGAAATCAATTTGCTGCAATTAAGGATTCTTTTTTCATCTTGCATCATTGTAATTAGAAACTGAAAGCCTTAATTGAGTTTAGATTTACATCTCTATGTGTAATCATACCAGAACACCACAGACAGGGATTAAGGTGCCATGGAGAGAGAGCGTCAGGTTTTCTGACTGCACTATCTAATGTCAGAATCATTTGAAAGGTAATTGAGAGGAATTGGTTGCAGCTTTGATTTAAAGGCCAGTGCAGGGCTAATTATTGAGCATCCATGTGTGTCTCTGAGATAATGAAGGGTGTCTGCTGATTGCAACTTCTATAATGAAACACGAAGCTTCACACTGATTAGGGTGCTTTCCCATCAACGGTGTCTGTAGCAGCTTCCTCTCTTGTCTAATTGAGTTCATCATTGTCTGCTCAGAAGGAAGGAAATGAGCAGCTACCTTAGAGGTGGCGTAGGGCTGTAGTTCCTGGCTGTGGCACTGGAGGGCACTGTTGAGCTCTTTTTGAGGGTTGAAGCACTGGATGACACCATGGGGGTCCTGGTGGGCAGAGCCAGGGAGACAGGCCTGGCTGTGGAAACATAAACAAAGAAGTCAGAGTCACTCCCAAAGAAGAAGTATTAACGTCATTTGTAATCATAAGTATTTGCACATTTCAAATTGAAGTTGTAGAGAGAAATACATTGTTCTAACTTTTAAAATTTCAAAATAAAGTTACACCGCTTCAAATAGTTGATTATACTTTTTTTTAAAATACCATCATACAGAAGACATCATGTTTCAGCAACTGTTTGACTTCCTAATTTATTTACTACTGTTTAGTCCCTCCAGGAGGTTATTTTAAGATTATTTCCTAAATTGACTGGTTTCACAGGCATATTGGTCAGTATTTTTATTCACAGTTGAACATATTCTTTAAGCTTCTTACTGTAATATAATCTAACAACAAAGTTAAAATTGCTGCATATGATTTTTAACACGTTTACTATTAAAAGGACAAATAATATTGTCACTTGCTCAAAATAGCAACTTTTCACAGATAAGTTGTGAGGAGTCATCAAAGTGTGAAAGAGGAATTTTATATTGATCATTAAAGTTATTACTTCTTACATCTAGATCAACAGAAATATTGAAGAAAATTTTTCCTTTTAATCCTTTTTCTCCTGTGTCTCTTTTACATATAATTATCCAGTCTGTCCTTTTGCAGAAATGTACAACTCTTTTATTTAGTTGTTTTTTTGTCTAAAATATAGCGAGGTCACAGTCTGATATATCCATTATTGTCACTACTAAATACTGGAGAAGGGAACCTGAAAAGTAATTTGATTGAAATGCATCATTCATAAAGGACACAGAAAATCAACAAATTTTTTATCATAAGTCTATAATCTAACCATGTTTTTTTTGTTTTAACTGGAGCTCTCTTTTCTTAATGATAGACAACTAAATAAAAAAGCTCACATACATCATATTGAAAACTGTTCACAAGTGCTTATCAATAGTGAAACGTTTGTTCATTATTATTGATAAGCTTTAAACTCTTCAGTTTAAAGACCAATCACAGATCTCTGCTCACCTTTGGCGCCTGGTGTTCTCCTTCCTCCAGCTGCGGTAGCTGCCGCCTGGTGCTCCTCAGAAATGTTGAGCCTCTTGAGAACATCAGCCAGTGCCAGCTTCAGCAGCTGGATCTCATCCTCCTGCATCTGCATCCTTTGCTCCAGGTATGTGAGCCGGTCGGCCACGTCCAGGCCGCTGGCTGCAGAGCTGCGGTCATCTGAAAGGCACAGAGGGAATTCAGAATGTGAATGATGGATTTTCTCTCGATATCTCTGGGTTTTGAACCTACAAATTGAGAGTTTCAAATACACCAATGCAAGATTTATTGCTATCATTTTCTATCACATTACATAACAAGTAAGACAAGATGGCTACTGCACTACAAAGAGCATGTGTGAACATCTAAAGCCTTTCTCTGTTTTTGCCTCATAAAGTACAAATCTGCAGAGATTATTCTAAAGGCTTTGATTAAAGATTAATCTGGGTAAAATGACAAAAAAAATTCAATATTTTGTCAGTAGAAAAAGGGAAAGACTAATAAAATTTATAATTCACGGCCATGTAACAGATGTCTGGACAATAATGTCCCAAAACTGTTGGACAACCCGGATCGTCCATATTGCCATCATGCAACACAGTGTAAACAACAATAAAATCAAAGCAATATCCAGCTAAAAAAAGGTATTAATTGTTGCAGTGTTTCTGTCATAAAATCCTTCTTAATTGTTTTTCTAACAGCATCACCAAAGGAACAATGGTTCATAGTTTGGTACCATAACAGCTGCTGGATGCTGATGACAAGCTAGGGTATCTTTGCTGGTCTCTGGCACCGTCTTCAACCTGCCCAGACGTCCTCCTCCTCTTCTTCTCTTCTCGCGTACAAACTCTTTCAGTTTTCTGTGCTCCTCTGGCCCTTATCAGGTATCCCCGCTCCGCCTCCATCTGATTTTCCAGGCTCTTCTAGGATCGCAGTTCTTTCACTCCATTCATACCGTTTCCAGAGATTGCTTCTTACAAGGTGTTCAGTTTCTATTATCCAAATCGACAGTTTCTGTTCCTGGCTCCCTCTTGGACACTATGTTGATTTATTGAGGCTTTAAGCCTCCAGCTCAGGATGTGTGCCTATAAAGGTGGGGGTTGGTAATGCTTTAAAACGTCCAATTCGCCCTTAATTGTCTCTGCCCATGTGTATGTGGACTCGCATGAGCATGATTGCATGTGGATGTGTATGGGAGTGCAGAGTACAATGTTAATCCCAATCCCAATGTTAATCTCTTTGACTCCGCCCACACAGATAATCCCATGTCAATATATGAGGGGAGGAACAAAGTAGAAACCTCAGGGCTTGATTTGAAAATGAATATTGAAGCTTTAGACAACATAAAGGTTTACATTGAATTTACTTTGCAAAAAAGATCATGAGGGTTAGAAATTATAATGGAGAATGTGTAAAAATAGGAATTATTGTTCCTTTCAGCAAGATCTAAATCAAGAAAAAGTTGGTTATCTGTAGTTCTATGTCACCATGGTTCTCAAACTGTGGAGTGAGTGCTGCTGGTGGTACGTCTGCTGTTAATGTTACCCTACAGATATTTTAGTATTATCTGCTGTATTGCAGTATTAACTGCAATATAAAGTCCGTTGATTCTGTTAATTTTCCATTTTCCAAATGTAAACATCTGGGTAAAAATAGGTAGTTGCATATAGCAGAAAATATTTTCTTTTGCATTACGTTCTTTATGCTTGACACACCAGACTGAAAAAGTCCAAATTCACGTACTGCTGAACTACTGTTTGAAAATGCCAACCCAGATTACAGTTCTGGAAGAATTAGTTGCTTGTTTTGGTGGTATTGTTATAAAAAGTTTCACTTTAATAAAGAGAAAGTTTGGTTCTCTGAAAACTTCATTAACTATGTGGATCAGTGTCCTGAAATTTACATTGTGAAGTACAATGACCAGATGTCCCCAGGAACAGTCCCAGATTTGGACCACCTGTTCACAGCTAAACCTGTCCCTGGAAAGGTACCTGATTTTTACCGTTGTTTGAAAGGGAAAGTGTTTCGTGTGGACTGTTAGTACAGTTGAAAGAGCACCTGAGCAGGTTGTGTGCAGAAACAGCTGTTAGCTAGCTGTCTTTTGTTAACATAAATATGAGGGGGAAAAAAAATAAAAATAATAGACGTCTGGGGCTTTGGGCTCCCCGGCGCTCGCCTCAGTGCTCTGGAGGGACGTGTCTTCGGCTCTTCACAACCACTGTTGAGCATTTTTCCTTTAGATAAACTAAACAAGTGCACTTTCACAAACAATTACAGGTTCTTGTTTCCAGGTACTTAGAGATTCACTTCCATACAGAAAGCTTATATTCTTATATTTAGCTACTACAGTATACATGTCAGATTAAATAATACTACTTATACTTCAGCGATAGTATCTAGGTGTTACTTATTGTATCTCTTATAGTATATCCATTGGTTTACTGTTCTTTTTACATCTCTTTGCAGGTGATGAAGCAGACTGAAGATGTTTTATTGCTATCTCCCTTTTATCTCCTCTTTCTTTAATCTTTTCTCCTTTTTTCTGTTTTTTTTTCCTTTCCTGTTTTACTTACATTGCAGTGTCCATATAATCTGTAAAACTCCCTACATGATTTATAATAAAGCTATTTATATGGATAAATCAAGCGGAACACTATGGCAATAGCCGTACTGCTCCACTTGTGAAAGTAAAATCTGCTGGGCTCTTTTTGGCATCAAGACAATTATTCTTATTGCCACATTGCCAGACAGGACACTGTTAAAAAAAGAAAAAGAAAAAAAAAAAAGATCTGCATGATGAATGATGATATTAAGTAAGTTTTAGTAAGTTCTCATGGTGTACTTTCTAATGTTTTTGGAAAGGAATATGATTATATTATGTCAGTATATTATGGCGGTTCTAGACCAAATGTACCAGAGGCCAGGAGGGGGCCAGCGTCTTTTCATGGGGGCACAGAAAAGCATGAACTAAAAAACAAGGCAAGGGATTCAAATATATTAAGATAGCTGCATGAGGTGAAATTTCAATTCAGTTAGGTTTTATTAAAATTCTATGTCTAATTAGGTCAATATACATTCAGAATTTCACATATTTTTGACTTAAATTGAGTTAAAATAACTGTTTTCTATCAAAATTCAGCTGTAAAAATTAGAGTATTTTTATTTTATTGGTCTTGGAACAAAAAAAATTTAGCAGATGAAAACTGGGATCGTATCTCAATACCACTGAAGCTATCACCTTATTGTTTAGAACTAATTAATAAAACAGAACTTGTAAAAAAAAAAAAAATTATCCATAGGACCTATCAGTAACCATGTCTGTTCCAGTGCATATAATCAATAGAATTTCTTTGAGTTTTATGTCTTCAGTACGGGGGCCATAACAGGGGCCAGGACATGATCTACAGGGGCACTGGCCCCCGTTGGCCCCTGTGTAGAACCGCCCATGAGAAGAGGAGCGAGGGAAGACTGATAGAGAGCAGATGAGGACAAGGCAGAGAAATCTACTTAGAAGTGTAATGCAGAGGGCAGACTGAAATCAGAAGAGGGCTAGAAATAATCTCAGTAACCAGCCAGACACACCTGGATTAATCAGCTTTTCCAGTAATGAAAGACAGGAAACAAAGGCTGCTGAATTTCAGGAAGTAGTGGATCTGTGCATAGAACAATAAACCTGCTTCTTTGAGATGCATATGCATCTGATGTGGTCAGTCGTCAGTTGATAGTAATAAATATATTGTAATAATTAGTATAATAGTAATGAATTCTGGTACAGTAATAAATATATCATCCTTTACCTGCTGGATTGGCCGCTACTTGTTTTTGATTCATGTTAACATAGAAAAACCTAATTCTCATAGGTATGTACATGTGAACAGAAGGAATGTTTGATATATTTAAAGAGGTGGAGGATCTATGTCTCCACAGACAGCCAAAGGCAAAGGCTAAGTGTTGGGGAAATCTTTGGATATGCATTTCCGTTTTTTCTTTTCCTCATGTCACTCTCTCTTTAGAGCTCCTTAGGCCCCACAAAATTGGAAAGCCCTGGTAACCCCCCATGACCACTCCACTCCTACCCCTTTCCTCTAGAGGCATTCCTTGTTTTTTGTCGCTAAAATATTAATAAATATGTAAAAGTAAATGAAGCCAATACTGTCCCAGTTTCCTACTTTCAGCTTGACGAGATGCATTTCTTTTTTTTTCTACAAGCTGGAAATATCCCCAGATTTGATTTCAAAAATCTGGTTACCTTACTGTGCAGGAGCTTGTTAGCTAAATTGGTTTTAGTTGTGCTCTTTAAAGAAAGGCTGAATAATAAAGGTGAAAAAATAATAAAGCAATAAATATTTTAAAGCTTAATTTAAAACCCAGATGCAGCTTTGCAAGAAACACTAGCTAAAAATGTCGGCTAAAAACCAACTTGTTTGTTTGTGAAGTCGTCTAGCTTCAAACATTTGCATCATCCTACATTTTAGAAATCTTTTGCATCTTTTGGTGCTACTTTTTAAACATAACGCGTTTTTCCTCCTAACAATCATAATCTGCTGTTAGTGAGGACATGAAGCATTGAGCCAGCAGTAATCTGCCTCTCACTGAGGACCGTGATCCTCTGTCAGCTCGTGATCTCCTGTGTCTCCTCCTGTCCTGGCCATGACTTCATCCTCGTGCCACATCCATACACTCCATATGGGATTGGGATTAGAATAGCACAATAATCCTGGTGCTGTAAAAGAGAATTAGCAAAACCCCAAGCTCAAACCCTGCACTAACTTAGCAGCAAATAATACATAGTCAGGTCTCTTGGATTTATGTCCTCCGAATGTAATCGTAGACTCATAAATTAAGTGCATTCAGGTTTCATACATCTGTTTTTGAAACGTTAAATGTTAAGAAAGAGACATAACGGCTTGTTTTAATCTCTGTCTGCAGATGGTATTGTTTAAATGGTAGAACAGCATCTGCTAAAATACTCTGCAAAAACAGACACACTGACGCTAGTTGTGCACAATCATCCTTCATTTATCACTGAAATGAATCCCTGCAAGGAAAATGACACACTGCAAAGCCTGTTCATCTGAGTCACATCTACATTCATTGAGTGTGGGGCATGCAACCAATACTAAGCATCATTTAAGTGATATCAAATATTTCAAGGGTGCCATTATTCCTACTGACTTACATTATGCAAGGAACATAATTCTTAGAGTATTTTTAAAGTTTGGTGTAAAGAGGATATTTACTTATAGGGATTTGAATTTCAGCAAATAAAATTTGTTTTTAATCTTTCATAGTCATGTATTTTCCTATTTTTTAGTTATTTTCCTTTGAATGAAACAGATATTTAATAAACCAAACTTAAAAAATAAAAAAAACAAGACAACAGATTGGTTTGAGCCACGTCTCCGTGCACACCTCTGAAGAGCTGTAAAACAAATTAAATTAACTGATCTTTTATCCCGCAATGGGTGCAGAGTAAGGGACCACCTGAGTTTATCTGAACTGGTACATTTTTAGTCATCTTTTACTTTAAACTCCCACCTTTTTACCTGTCATGAAATCAGTGTCACTGTGATAGCTCTCCTTTAGAGAAGGTCTTCTCAGCAGGCTTTGGGCCGTCTCCTCCATCTGCAGGCTGTGGTTATCCATCTCCTCCATGTGTGCGTCTCCTTCTGCTGTGACTCCTTGCATGGCCCAGGCTGAAGGTGTGAGTGTATTTTGGTCTAAACTTCCCTGCAGAGCTGATTCACCGTCCCCAGTCACCCAGCTCTCCCCACCTGCTGCTTTCCCTCCCTCACCTAATATCCTGTAAGGACTATGTGAGCAGGGTGATGTCACTCAAAGGACAGATTAAAGACCGGGTAATCCACCTGAAGCTCAAGGGGAGGACAGGAGTGTGCAGGAGTCTTTATTTTTTTTTTCATTAGGTCGATAAAAAACAGCGATAAGGATCAAAGTGTCACATTTAAGGTGCTAAAATTCCTGGCTACTGCTTCATAGGAGACAACTCTGTCCTGAAGAAAAACATACTCCTGACAGAGAGGGGCTGGAGAATCTGCTGTTGCATGCAAACTTACAGACAAGCACTAAATTAAACTCCCAAAAAGCTTACGTGAAGCTGCCATCCGGTGTGGTCAGCCAGGGCCGACTGTAAGGATGATGAGATCCACAGATTAGCAAGCAGAATTTGATTAATTGCAGTCATCAGGAAGACAATAAGCCGGATGTGGTAATTAGCCTAACAGGGGAAAGAAACAGCACTAGATGAAAGCTAGTTAGGTGATTACATTTGCCCCCCCATTGTTTTTGTCTATTTTGCATTTTGCTGGATCGATTCTTCTTTTAGCAGATTTACCCGTTTGCTGACGTATCAAGACTTAGCAAAGGAAGTTGTCGATTCATGAGAATGAAAGCATGATAAATACGTTGTCTATGCGTTGATACAATTCTAAGGTTTCCAGTTCCTCAAATGCTCGTTTTCTCTCCCCCATTATTAATGTCCCTTTTCTTAAGTCATCTTTTTCTGTCAGACTTCCTGTCGAGTCAGTTCTCATTTCGCACTGGGAGAGGAGGTTTTTTTTCTTCCAAACATAATCCAAGACTGTGGGGGTTTTTAGTTAGTTTAAAACGTTTAACTTCAATTATTTTTTTTGACATCTTCTGTGGAGGATTAGTCTAAAACGGTGCATAATTGAGGTGTCCTTTGCACCCAAGTCAACACACACAAAAGTATTTCACCCAAATTTTAAGATTTATTTCATTTATTACATAAATTTCTATTTAATTTTAAAGCAAACACATCAAATGATGTATATTCATAAGTTGAATATAGCTTATTTATTCAAACTATACAGTTGTCAGCTTTGGGTGTTTAGAATTAATGAAATATATTTACTAAATATAATAGTAATAAATTTATTTGTTTCAAAAACAGTTTATTCTTTAAACTGCATACATATCAGCGTACCTTTATCAAAATCAAACAATAAACTATGTATTTTTTTTATTATTATTATCGTTAATGAGTAAGTGTACTTCATAAACTAAAATGCATAAACCTGATGATTACATACTTCAAATAAATAAGCTTTATTATACATAATTTAATAGGTTTGTGTTAAACTTATCTAAAAAAAAAAATAATGTAATTTATGTAATGATGTTAGATAAATCTTAAAATTTGGGTGAAATATTTTTGAAATAATACTCTGTGAAGCCACCTTTTTGTCCATTGGATGTTTTTACACCCAGGGAAAAATATTGAACCTTTCCTATTTGCAAAGCAGCTAAAGTTCAGTCAGATTGGTTGGCAGACACCTACAGTAAAATTTTTAGGTCTTTGCATAAGAGCATAATCATCTGGACTCACAATAAGTGGCTCTTGATTTGTTTCAGATCATCCTGTTGGAACTGTAACCCTTTGTAAGAGGAAAATGTTCTGTAGTATCAAGTTTTTTCTTTCAGGGTTGCCCTGGATTTGCCTCTATCAGTTTCTTTGTTGTATGTAAAGCAACCCCACAGCATGATGTTACCACCACCATGCTTTGCTAAGTTTTTTTTTTTTTCCCCCCACACATACAAACCCAAAAACTTTGGATTTTAGATTGATGTGACCAGAGCCCATCTTCTTTGCGTTCCCATATCAACTACAGATCTTGCTTCATTTGACTTTCTTTAATAAAAGTGCATTTCTCCTTACCACTTTTTTTATTTGAAGAAAGACAACAAAAATTCACAATTTTTAAGAAAATCCTGTATCCTTTTACGTTGCACTTTGAAATCATAACTCACTCTAACAGCTGTATTAGAGCCTAAACAGCTGATCCTAAACTGGTTGTGCTTTTAGCTTAAATCCCTTCAGGGTGTGTTTCATCATAGGTCATTAAAAACAATTATCTGCTCAGCTTCCTGCACATTTGTAAGGATCTGAACTTCAAAAACAAAACTAAAAGGAGGGAGCTGAATCCTTCCTCCTAACATGTTCATATGCACTGAAAAATATGGTCAGTGAGTGCAAATTATAGCCATAAACTCTGGAGTTTGGAAGAGAATTAAACAGCCCTCTGATGCAGGTCTCTCATTGGTGCCCTCCTGTGGACATGATCGGTATTACAGCCAAATATGCAGTTTCTATAATAAGAGCTCAATAAAATAATAGTTGGATACATTTGCTTAGGAGAAGGGATATACTTCG